CCTTTTTTTTGCCTTTCTCCTCTTTTCTCTCTCTCAATCTATCAGTTTCTTCTCTCTTTTTTTTTTCTTCTTCTTTGGCTAGCCAAAGTACCTTTTATAGACCAAAAAAAAAAAAAAAATCCTTTTCTAATTCTAAGTCCTAATCCAAATTCCTAAGTTACAGGTTTAAAAATCCAAATCCTTCTCTAATTCTAAATCCCTAAATTACAGATAATAATCTAATTCTACTCAAAATCATAATTTAGTTCTTCATGTATCTTCCCCCTTTGAAGGCCAAATTTATATCTCCTAAAGATTTGGATCCCTAGGTTGAATCAATTTTGAAATCTTTCTTTGTGATTCTTGATGAAGAATTCGAATTCGAAAATTTCTCCATACCAATGCCGTAGTCTATCCAAATTCAAGTTGATTTAGGGATAAACCAAGAAGAATTTGTGAATTGTTGGAGAATAGGTGTTGGCAAGAATCATGGGTTTTGGAAGGCTAAGGTTCGACTGAACCCTAGTGTTCTATTTTTATTTTTACCCACAAGCAAAATGGCATCGTTTTGTCAATTCTTCTTTTCAGCCCTTTAAGTTTCATGCTTTTACAAAAATGGTCCATTGGCTTCCAATATTATTATTTAGCCACAGTTAAAATTGAGTTATGATAGTTGCCTCCTCTTTTACAAAAAGTAAAGAATAAAAAAATAACCCAACTTTAAGCTTTGAAAACAATTTATAAGTAAAAGCTATTTCATCTCTACTTCTCCAAGAATGCAATCTTCATCTAGAATATGACTTATAAGATGTGGTCTTCATCTTTTCTTCTTTGAGATGCGGTCTTCATCTCTTCTTCTTCTTCCTAAGATGCGATCTTCATTTAGGATGTGACTTCTGAGATGTGGTCTTCGTCTTATCTTTTGCAAGATGCGGTCTTCATCTCTTCTTCTTCCTGAGATGTGATCATCATTTAGGATGTGACTTTCTAAGATGCGATCTTCATCTTATCTTTTGCAAGATGCGGTATTCATCTATTCTTCTTTTTGAGATGGGATTGTCATCTAGGATATGACTTTTTAAGATGCGGTCTTCATCTTATCTTTTGTGAGATGCCATCTTCATCTCTTTTCCTTCTTGAGATGTGGTCTTCACTTAGGATGTGACTTCTAATATGCGATCTGTATCTTATCTTTTGCGAGATGTAGACTTCATCTCTTCTTCTTCCTAAGATGCAGACTTCATCTAGGATATGACTTTTAAGATGCGATCTTCATCTAGGATGTGACTTTTAAGATGCGATCTTCATCTTATCTTTTGCGAGATGTAATCTTCATCTCTTCTTCTTCTTGGGATGCGGTCTTCATCTTATCTTCTACGAGATGCGGTCTTCAACTAGGATGTGGCTTTTAAGATGTGAACTTCATCTTATCTTTTACGATATGCGAACTTCATCTTATCTTTTATGAGATGCAGTCTTCATCTCATTTTCTGCAAGATGTGGTCTTCATCTTTTCTTCTTCTTGAGATGTGGTCTTCATCTTTTCTTCTTCTTGAGTTGTGGTCTTCATTTTATCTTTTGCGAGATGCAGTTTTCATCTCTTCTTCTTCATAAGCTGCAGTCTTAATTTAAGATGTGACTTCTAAGATGTTGTTTTCAATTTATCTTTTATGAGATGCAGTCTTTGTCTCTTCTTTTTCTTGAGATGCGGTCCTCATCTAGAATGTGATTTCTAAGATGTAGTCTTCGTTTCTTTGACAATGATCTTAAATCGAATTAGTATTTCTTCAAACCTCAATAATTTGTGCCTCTTGCCAGTGTTCAATTCAATCTTGAACTTTCATCGATATCATGACTTTAAACCTTGAAGACTCAAGAGATTAACAAGTGTCCTTTAGTATCATCTTGAACCATCATTAATCTTTTCCATCTCTAATGATGCTTTAAATTTCATGAAAATTTTTTATTTTTATTCACCCATGCTATCATCAAGAATTCAATGCATCTACTTGTCATTTTTTTCAAATGTCAAATCTTACATGCAAAAATAATGATTTTGAACCTTCCAAAGATGCTGAAATCAATGTCAAATTCAGTGATATTTAAAACAATCATGGGAAAGATTAACGAAAAATCTTGTGAAATACAATGGATTATATGAACAAATAATGTGATTTAACTTCCATGAATAACAATTGCCAATTTGACCTAGAATACAATTAAGAAGCCCTTTTCATATAAATGTTTTTTTTTCCCTCTCTTTTCTTTTTATTTTTCAAAATCAACTTCCAAAACACAAATTTCTTTTCTCACTCCTCTTTTGAATCTTCCTCTTCTTTTTGTTCAAAAAGAACCTGATCCCATTTTCATAAACGAGCAAATTCTTCAAGAATAGCTTTGTAAGGATTCAAATGATAACAATAGTGAAAGTGCCAATGAGAATTACTTCTAGAATTAGGAATCAAGTGACAATGGAATTTTGAGTTTTCAAAAATTGTGATTTTGGCTAAAGCAATGAAATTTTCCTTCCAATGAAATCTCAACTTGTTTGCCCCATTTGTTTCTCTCCATCTTCCTTCTTTCTTTTCTTTCTTTCTTTCTTTCTTTTTTTTTTTTTTTTTGAGAAATATCACGCTTAGATTCAACAGCTTTCAAATTCTTTGATAAGGACTTTGAATACTTGTATCATGGTCTAGGGCTTGGCTAATTAGAAAGAAAGGATATATGAGCTCAATGATAAAATCCCTCCTGCCCCTTGATTTCACTCATTACACCCCAGGCTCTTGATGCATGTACATTCAAAAAAATAATCATCTTAGCTTTTCTACTATGATGATTGCCTTTTCTATTATGATGATCGCCTTTTCTTTTAGCTCAAAGTGTGTCACTAAGGTCAATTTCATTGTTTGGGAAATAGAAACAAGGCCTTTCGTTATTGAACCTAAAAACTCTTTTAATAATTTACCATCCTCACTCTACTGATTGCCATCATCAAAATGTCTACAAACATCCAACCCTCAAAAAGACTTTCATGGATTGTTATAGAGTTTAGGTATGGCTACTAAAAGAATAGTCAATATAGGCTCACAGTACCTAGCTTACCCCCCCAATTGCATGCCATGTCTTAGAGATTTCCTCCTCATAAAGATTTCCCCTTCAATTTGTTTTAAAACTTTCTTCTCCTTCATTAGCTTCTTTATCCTCAAAAAAAATTTTTTTTTTTGAGCTTCCACTTTCTTTTACTTTCTTTGAGTTTCTTTCTCCCTTTCAAAATAGTTTTTACTAGATCCTCCAATGAAAATGACACCTAATTTGGCATGCAACGATATTCCCAGGTTATTGAATTGGTCATGAAAGAAGTGTTTATTGAATTCAGGCTCAAAGTGTTTAACTAAGGATGAAGTTTCAAAAAGAAGGCCTTTTCTCCTTGGATCTTCTACCATAGGCATCAAAATGATAACAATCACTTAACAAAGTTAGCAAAACCCTACCATTTTCCTTCTTTTTCTTTTTTTTTTCTTTTTTTTTTTTTATTTCTTCCTTCTCTTTTTTTGTTTTTTGTTTTTTTGTTTTTTATGTACAATTTGTGGCAATTCTTAAAGATGAATCCTTCCTTGGCAAGGGCTTTCATCTAAAAGGTTTCAAATATTAAGGATAAAAATTCTTGAGCCTTCTATCATAAGAATGTTTCAAATTTTGAAATCAATTTCTCTTTATACATTTCTCTCATTCCTACTCATCCATTATTTTTCCCTTAATCACCCCCTTTTTTCTCAACCTTTACTTTTTCCTCAAGCCTCAAATTTCTCTATGGGGTTCAAAATTGAATTCTAGTTCATTAACAATGCAACTCATGGAAGTATAAAATCAAGAATTGAATAACTATGAATTAAAACATGAAGAACAAAGATTCAAATTGCAATATGAAAGAAGCTTGGAAAATGCAAATAAAAACTAACATGAAAGACACATTTTATTCCAAGATGATAGCAATAGGTAAAAAACTCTATTGTTCACTTATTCAAGCCTTTGTCAGTAGCAATTCTAAGATCAACCTTGTCTGAGTGAAATTGTAAGCGTTTCGAATCCTTAAAATCTTGAATGTTATGCTTCAGAGTTAGGCACCTTTCTATATCATGACCAATGGTCATGCTATGGTAATCACATTTAGCCTATGGATTTGACCAGAATGGCAAAGGCTTAGGAGGCTTGTTTGTAGGGATTAAAGTCAATTCCCCAAGCTCTACCATTTAATTGAATATCTTCGAATATGATTTGAACTGCTTTTCCAAGCCGAGATGCAACAGAATCCACCACTTGTACATCATTCCCTTTTTTTGTCCTTCCCACTCTGGTTAACCTTTTTTGTGTAAGTCAAATTATCCAATTCTAACAATCTACCATTCTAATGTTGCTCAAGAATATCCTTTATAGCTTGGTAATCTATGATGACACTATATTTGATTTCATCCTCAACTTGTTCTCCCACAACAACTAACTAAGTAAAAGTGTAATTCACATAAGTCATTAACTTCTCACAATAAGGCTCTTTAGTTGACTTAATGAAAAAATTAGTCAATTCATGATCATATAATGGCGATTGAACTCAAGCAACCAATCCACGTCATGTTAGGCAAATTCTTTAAAACTGTCACTTCAATTACTTTCTATCTTTTGAAGATCTTCTCCACTAGGAGCTCTTTAGTATTCATATTGCTTCATGAAATTGTGAGTCAAATCAAAACAACTCTTAACCCTTCTCTTGTCTAAAGTTGAGAACTAAGCATCTACAGGACCTGTCAAACTATCTTAAAAGTAATCATTAGCTTCTCATCATTGGCATAATGAGCCATTTTCCTACAATGCATTGTCAAGTGAGCATAAGGACAACCAGTGCCATTATACTTGTCAAATTCAAAAAACTTGAACTTATGCAACAGTTGAATGTTTGGGAAAAAGCACAAAGATGAGATGTCCACTGGTTTATTGGTTTGAACATATTGCATCGATTTTAGTGTTTCCTCCATCAACTACATGTTTGCTTTTATTGCCTTATCTTCATCCTTTATGATTGATTTAACAATTTGAGTCTGACTTGATCATTTTCATTAGTCTAAGTTGTAGCAATACTAGGATTTAGAAAAGTTGGGACAAGTGGTTTTGTCCCAAAAAATCGAACAACAGTTAGATTTGGAGGGCTAGATGACATTGGCTCCTTTCCAAGAGTTAAAAGAGATGTGGCAATAAAGACATTTGCCATAGAAGCATTTCCTTTAAACAAAGGATTAGTTGTCAAAGGCACTCTTGCAACTAAGGTTGCTTGAAGAGATTGGAAAGAAGCCATCAATTCCTTCAAAGTATTTTCTATGTTTTTAACTCAATTTTCAAGAGCTACCTTCTCTAAATTAGCTTTGTCGACCATCTTCTTTGTAAAAGCTCTAGTGAGATTAGGTGAACGGACTCTTAGATAATTCCTTTTAGGACCAATCTTTCAACACCTGTAGTGTATGTGCATTGTTAACCTGAAATAAATCATGGTTTTATCTAATTGGCTTATTGAAAGATGGACTCCCAAATTTTCCCATTAGATAAAATCATGTCCTCAAACAACCATATTAATTATTTAAATTTATTTTACACATAGATTCCTCATTGTTAAGAGTAACTTCAGCCAATTGCTTGTAAGAAAAGGTGAAATGAGAGCCAAATAATTATCACAACAAGCATGAGGAGGTTGCCTCCTTCATATCTTTTCTTCTTTATATTGAGGAACTTGCTTCTTTGTCAACAAATAGAATTCAAGAAAATGTGAAATTTGACTTCAAACTTTATTCATTTATTTAAAATTTTGAATATAACAACTAATAAATAACAATCATAAATTTTGATCTAGAACGTAAACTTTTGAACCTATTGTTGGGCGATTGAATAGTAACTAAAAATATTCTTCAATGGTGGGCACTAACTCAAACTCAAAAACAAAGCAACGAAGATGTAGGACATAATATCTTAGGATTGCCCTAATGATTACCCAATCTAGCTCCACTTGCAACACATCAGCTATTCTTCCAAATTTCTTGTCAAACCTCACTTTGTCAAGATTGTGTAGATTGTTCCAAGCAACAACCAAGTCTTTTACAGAAGGTCTTTTAGTCTGTACAGAGAATCCATCCTTGTGTGACTTGTTGGACAACAGTAGACATTGGAGCTAAGAACTCATCCTTTTTCCCTTATTGTCCCTTTTCTTCAAAGAATCCATGTGTAAAATAATCAATTATCTATTTATTAAAGTAGAAAGATGAGTTAATAAATATCATACCTCTTTGTCGAATTCCTCACCTAAGAAACACAAAAACATTGTTTAAAAATAAAAATACTCCCTACGTATCCTATGTATAAGGATCTTAAACTTTGAAAGTAGTTTATTAGGATGGCTATCGTATGGTTAAGTTTTTGTCTACATGCGGTTTCCTAGTGAATCCTATACAATTAGGTTTTTTTCAACTGCTAACTCCCATAAAATTAACAAAAGGCATTTCATGACCTAATACAGCAATAGTATTATGGCTGGCAGGCTGTATTAACCCACAAAATGAAACTGAAAGAGATAATCCCACTTCACCAAGACAACATTGTGCTTTTCATTGTTCCATGAGTCATCTATCTACTTAGAGGTCTTGTTCACCTCACCAAGGACAAAATGATATGCAAGTGAGGTGTGTGAGGGAGCATTCAAATAATAATAACATAAGAAAATAATAAAAATATTAAATAAAATAACTAAATACAAAAGAGGAAAAACTCACAAGGTACTCCATGCCAAGTGCAAAACAAAAGTTAGAAATTGAAAAACCCCAAAATTAAAGTATAAATGGCTTGACCCTTCTAATTTTCCTAGTAGAGTTGCCATCTATTCAAATAAGATGGATAAATCACCAAAGTTTACGTAGAAATTAACTGGGACTAGAAAGTCGGTTAAGCGTGTGGAAGGTATTAGGCAGTCTACAGCTTTTATATAATATAGTTACCATATACTTTAAATTTGAGGAATTTTCAATTTTTATAAAAAATAATAATTACCAAAAAAAAAAAATTACTTCAATCATAAAACCCATCATTATCTTTTTTTCGTTTCTGTGTTTCTTTC